ATATATTATAAACCAGCTATTTATATTGATTTTTCATATTTTGTCAATTACATATTATAGAATATTGACGCCAAAAATAGCAACCACTTTTGGTAAAGGAGTTTATTAACTTTTTAGATTTTATCAAATTTCTAAAATGCCCAATATTTTTCTCAAATTATACCAGGAGCTTTTCCCTAGAATAGCTTGAAAAGATATTATTTTCACATAAATATTACACAAAAATATGTTTGATATTTTTCAGACTGTTGGCTAAAAGGGAAATGACTATAGTGGTCAAAAGGATTTACTTGAGGTAAGGCACAACAAGAAAGCATGAAAATTAGTAATTAATAGAAAACAATTTTAATTATATGGGATTAAGGTTGATAGAACATCTGACATTTATGGAACTCGGTTTGAATCTGATCAAGCCATTTGGGCTGCAGCATCCACTGTGCGAAATGCTGCCCTCCTCCATTGTTTTAAATGATTTATAGGGAAGTTGGTAGTTTTGATTTTCCTTGCAGGCCTTTTTTTCATAGGTTGGGGAAGCAGCCCTGCCCTTAATTTTTGGAAATTATACAGTATTTTTGCAAAAGGGGAAGCAAATTTTTGATGTAAATTCAATTGTTTGAGAAAACTGGAAGATTTTAAAGTATTTTTCTTTGGGGAAGCTGTCCTAATAAATGACCCTGCTATAGAAAGAAAAAAGCCCTGCCTTGTGTAGTATTGATACTGAATCCAGGACAGCTTTGTTGTGTTACCCTATTGCTAACCTTGAACCTTGAATTTTTAGCTCAGCTGTCACAAATTGACATGTTGAGCTTTTGTGATTGCTTTTCGTCCGGCGTCCGGCCGTAAACTTTTACTTTAAACAACATTTCCTCATCAAGTGCTAAGCAGATTTCATCCAAACACAGGAATGTTCCTTTGGTAGTCAACTTTAAAAATTGTTCAAAGAATTTAATTCCAAGCAGAACTCTGGTTGTCATGGCAACTGAAAGAAAAAAATAAGAATATCTTGTTTTAGCAAACCTAAAGAGCTAGAGCTTAAATATTTGGCATGAAACATCATCTAGTCAGTGTTAACCAATTTTGTTCAAATAAATGCCCAGTGGTCAAAGGCAAAATTGGTCCCGCCCGGGGGGTGGGGGGGGAGGGTCATTGTATTTCCTTATTTGTATATACATATAGTTAAAAACTTAATAATCTTCTTTTAAAAAACTCAAATAGCTAGAGCTTTGATATTAGGCATGAAACATCTTCTAGTGGGTATCTACCTAGTTTTTAGCTCTCCTGTCACACAGTGACAGGGTGAGCTTCTGTGATCGCTTTTCGTCCGGCGTCCGTCCGTCGTCCGGCCGTCCGGCGTCCGTCCGTAAACTTTTTCTTTAAATGACATCTCCTCATAAACCACTAAGCCAATTTCATCCAAACTTCACAGGAATGTTCCTTTGGTGGTCACCTTTAAAAATTGTTCAAAGAATTTAATTCCATGCAGAACTCTGGTTGCCATGGCAACCGAAAGAAAAAACTTTAAATATCTTCTTTTAAAAAACCATGAGAGCTAGAGCTTAGATATTTGGCATGAAACATCTTCTAATGAGTGTCTACCAATTTTGTTCAAATAAAAGCCCTGGGGTCAAAATTGGCCCCGCCCCGGGGGGTCATTGATTTTCACTATATGCTTATAGTAAACACTTAAAAAATCTTCTTTTAAAGAACCCAAAGAGCTAGAGTTAAGATATTTAGCATGAAACATGTTCTAATGGGTGTCTACCAAGTTTGTTCAAATAAAAGCCCTGGGGTCAAAATTGGCCCCGCCCCGGGGGGTCATTGATTTTCCCAATATGCATATAGTAAAAACTTAAAAAATTTTCTTTTAAATAACTCAAAGAGCTATGGCTAAGATATTGAGCATCAAACATGTTCTAATAGGTGTCTACCAAGTTTGTTCAAATAAAAGCCCTGGGGTCAAAATTGGCCCCGCCCCAGGGTGTCATTGATTTTCCCTATATGCATATAGTAAAAACTTAAAAAATCTTCTTTTAAAGAACCAAAAGAGTTAGAGCTAAGATATTTAGCATGAAACATGTTCTAATAAGTGTCTACCAAGTTTGTTCAAATAAAAGCCCTGGGATCAAAATTGGCCCCGCCCCGGGGGGTCATTGATTTTCCCTATATGCATATAGTAAAAACTTAAAAAATCTTCTTTTAAAGAACTCAAAGAGCTATGGCTAAGATATTTAGCATCAAACATGTTCTAATAAGTGTCTACCAAGTTTGTTCAAATAAAAACCCTGGGGTCAAAATTGGCACCACCCCTGGGGTCATTGATTTTCCATATATGTGTATAGCAAAAACTTAAAAAATCTTTTTGAAAAAACCCAAATAGCTAGAGTTAAGATATTAAGCATGAAATATCTTTTAGTGAGTGTCTACAAAGTTTGTTCAAATAAAAGATCTGGGGTCAAAATTGGCCCCGCCCCGGGGGTCATTGATTTTCTTTATATGTGTATAGCAAAAACTTAAAATCTTCTTTGAAAAAACCCAAATAGCTAGAGTTTAGATATTAAGCATGAAACATCTTCTAGTAAGTGTCTACAAAGTTTGTTCAAATAAAAGCCCTGGGGTCAAAACTGGCCCGGCCCCAGGGGTGTCATTTTTTTTAAATATATGTGTTTAGTAAAAACTTAAATAAAATCTTCTTTTAAAAGCCCAATGAGCTAGAGCTTAGATGTTTAGCATGAAACATCTTCTTATGCGTGTCTTCCAAGTTTGTGCAAATAAAAGCCCTTGGGTTTAATTGGCCTTGCAACGTTGGGGGAGGGGGGGGGCGGTTGGGGGGCCTATGTACAGGTGAGTGACCCCAGGGCCATCATAGCCCTCTTGTTTCTAATAAAAGCCCTTGGGTAAAAATTGGCCCTGCCCCAGGTGGTCATTGATATTCCTTATTTGTTTATAGTAAAAAACTTACAAAATTTTCTTTTATAAAACCCAAATAGCTAGAGCTTAGATATTAAGCATGAAACATCTTCTAGTGGGTGTCTGCCAAGTTTGTCCAAATAAAAGCCCTGGGGTAAAAATTGGCTGGCATTGATTAAAAATTTCCTTATTTGCATATAGTAAAAACTTAAAAAATCTTCTTTTAAAAAACCAAAATAGCTAGAGCATAGATATAAAGCATGAAACATCTTCTACTGGGTGTCTACCAAGTTTGTTCAAATAAAAGCCCTGGGGTAAATGTTGGCTCCGCCCCAGGGGTCATTGTTTTTCCCTTTATGTATATAGTAAAAGCTTAAAAAATCTTCTTTTAAAACCCCCAAAAAGCTAGAGCTAAGATATTTAGCATGAAACATCTTCTAATGGGTGTCTACCAAGTTTATTCAAATAAGGGCCCTTAGGTTAAAATTGGCCCGCCCCAGGGGTCATTGATTTTCCTAATAATTATGTGTAAAGAAAAAACTTAAAATCTTCTATTAAAAAACCAAAATAGCTAGAGCTTAGATATAAAGCATGAAACATCTTCAAGTGGGTGTCTGTCAAGTTTGTTCAAATAAAAGCCCTTAAAATATCTTCTTTTAAAAACCCCAAAGAGCTAGAGCTTAGATATTTGTTATGAAACATCTTCTTATGGGTGTCTACCAAGTTTGTTCAAATAAAAGCCCCTGGTTTAAAATTGGCCTTGGCCCAGGGGCCTATATACAGGTGAGCAATTTTGGCCATCATGGCCCTCTTGTTTTAATGTACTTGTCCACATTATATGTTTGGAACTGTCCATTACCAAATCTAGGGGTAACAAATCAGAATGAAAATTTGAAGTCGGTTAAGTCTACAGCGTCATTGTTGTAATTGTAAATGCAGTACCGTAAACTTCAAAGATTGAAATTAACTATAAACAAATCTGGGAGGAGTTGAAGTCTGTGCATAACTTGCCTTCATTTCGTAGCTATGTCTTGTCTTGTTTTAGATTTAAAGGTCAATGAGATATGTCTTATTAAAGTAAAGGAAAACTTGTTTGAGTGACATTTGTAATTACAGTCTTCAGTTGTTTGTCTTTATTTATTAGGTAAAAATGTAATAACAAGTCATGGCCAAGAATTGTCATGGAAAGAATGAAAACAGTTTTGACATGTGCGATAAGTTGGCAGTAAAATTTGTAAACATTCTTGTAATAATAAAAAGTGTTATGTATATTATATAAAAATTTAGTTTTTTGTCTGTTTGGCTTAATTCAATAGTATCCTCAAAGGCATGTTGAATATCTTTTAACAATGTTTAAACTTCCATGGTGAAAGTTAACCTACTGCCCCACCTCCAGGCCTCTTTATTGTATTTCAAGTAAGTCTGCAGTCACCGCAGTTGGCCCATAAATTTTCAAGTAGTAATAAATTTGTGGGTAGCTTTAGTGTTTTATTTATTTACAAGAATTTAAAAAAGAGGCTGGCATTAAATTCAGTGGAAGTCAGAGATTCAGCAGTTTCTGTAGGTGGGGATGGGGGTGGCGTGCTTACTGTTGGAACTGCATTTGTATGGCACTTAAATTATTATCAGTACATCATCAAATAACAGTATCTTCCTTAAAATGATACATTCTGAAAGCCAAAAGCAGGCAAACAGGAGACCCAACAGTCGAGAAATCATCCACTTCATAAACCTCAAAAATATCTCAGCATTGCGTTTTAATGGAAAAAAAATATGAAAAAAAAATCTGGTTAAAACGGTTTCAAATCTTATATGTCTCTTTCTTTCCCAGTTGAAATATATCTCACTGAGAGAAAAACAACAACAATGTTGTATAATTATTCCATTTATTACATCTAACCTCAGTACAAAGTCCTGTCTGTGTTTCTTTACATAGATATGACCCATTTATTAGACACGCCAACAATTAATTTACTATCCTTTGTTTTCAGTTTGTCAGTCACTTTCACTAAATATATGTTTTACATTACTGTAAATAGAGCATAACATCCTTATAATGATTATAAAGGGAGGTAATTATGAATTCTCTCCCCTGAAGGCATTACCTGTCATGAAGTTACCTTATCAGGTCTTTATTTTATATAAATAGTTTAATTTATGTGTCACAACATACATATGTAACATGCATCAGCTCTAATGTACAAATGTTTATTGATCCATCAGGTGGTTTGAAGTTTTCGACAGATTTTACATTTTTTGTTGGTGAAGTGAAGTAAAAGGATTTTAAAACCGTATTTCAATTCAGTCATTCCCACAGGACGAATTAAAAGGATTAAAATAGTAAGTTAATTTTGTGTTAATTGAATTTTATATGTAATTAGGAGAAAAATTAAGAGAGAAAAAGAGAAATAAATGATGTTCAACTTAATTAAGAGAAGTTAAATTTTAAGTGAAGGATGAAAAGTGATTGATAAATTTTGTTGACATGATAGTATAATATTTGATGATGTTTAAATTTGCTGTTTTTTTAGCCTGTTACGAACAATTGTCTGAGTTTTGTATGTTCATTTGAAAGCTTTAAGTCATGAAATAAAGTTGAATGAGAAATAAATGAGTTGTAACAACTGGGAAATTATGAAATTTTTGTTATCAGTAACTTCACTTCAATTTGGGAAATAGTCATGCATTCAAATTATTCGGGAATTGGGGAATAGATTTGTTAAGTTTACCTGATCTGTAATTATTGTACAAGTAAATGACATAAAAAACACTGAATTAGTGAATAGAAAAAAATCTATATCCTAGTGAAGATTTTTTATTTAACAAACAAATTTCACCAGACAAAAAGTAGTAAATTTTGTATGACGTATATATTATGTATGCAGGCTTTCATTTATTATGCAGATGTTCAAATTACCCTCATTAATATTCATGAAGATATTAATTTCTATATTTAGCACACCAATTGTAAACTCAATTAATATATAGTCCTCAACTATTGTGATTGACCTTCATGAGTTAATTAAAGAATTGTTTTTCTGTATTGACCGGTCAGGAGAGAAAGACAAATGCCAGTAGTCTTAGTTATGATTGAGCCGGGATAATCCAGCATCTCAGTCTGACCAGAACCCTTAAATAGTCGGTTCACTACTGTTGCTCAATTTTCGTATTTTGAATGTACTGTCTGAAGCATTGTCAATAAATATCCTTCATTGTGAGGGGTCAGTTCTTCACCGTCACAGAGGTCTTAGTATATAATTATAGTAACTGCCAAAATTAAGATATTTTGTAATACATGTATCTCTTAATATTGGTTATAAATTTGTTGAGAAATTGCACATCCCTTATTTTTAGGCTAACAGTGTTGATATTCATCGCTTAGAATAAAAATAAAATTTATAACATGTAACATATAACTGATCGTGATTAAAAAGCACTAAGCATAATTTTAAAGGGATACTCAGGCACAAATAATGGCAAAAAATATAAAAATGAATTTTCCTGTACTCAAAATCACCCTAAAATGACATTTCTAAAGCCCCAACATGAATTTTTCTGTAATAAATTCTATATATTTTTGGGTTTGAAGTTTAAATATATCTATAATAATGTTTGAAACGAAATTTTGACGCGAACTCAGAAATCACCGATAGTTTAAAAAAGCAAGTCATGCGATTTGAACAAACGCCTGGAAGTTACAATAAACAAATATTGTGGATATTGGGTATGATTGAAACAAGTCTAAGTAATGTGGATTTGGAACATGTTTTTTTAACGTTTCCAGAGTACAGAGTGACAACTATTGTGAAATTTAGCGCTCTAAAACCTGACCCCACGCGGGTCAAGTTTAGGAAAAAACACCATTTTTATTCTTTATATGGAGAAAAGGTTTTGTTCCTTTGACTGTCTAGTGTATTCATTTTTAGGACATTTACAGAATAATGAATGAAAATTTCAAAACTAAGAAATGAAAATTTTGCCTGTGTCTCCCTTTAAACATAGGTTGGTAAGGTAAAGTTTGGACATTGTTAAGGTTGAATAATGTTAAAGGATGCCCTGGGCAGCAAACAATCTTGTCATACTTCAAATAGTAAAGGACTGGTCTGACATTAAGGTGAAGGAAACCAGAATTTTTTCATCAGACCAGAAAGAGATTTTTATGAGGGAATTTTATTACTTGTATATGTCCATATATATCTTCGTTTTCGATGATAAATCATCAGGGGACATCTGGTCAGCCACTGAATGAAAGGTCACCGAACCTGCTCGAAAAAGTTGAATGACGATTTGTCGGTCTGTCTGTTGTTTTTTTCTCTCCTGGAGGCTTGAAAAATGGATTTTGTTACACATAATTATTAATTCTGAAGGCCTGAAAAAGGTTTTTTTTCTTCCAGAGGCTTGAAAAATGGATTCTGTAACAAAAAATTAGTCTCAAGGCCTGAAAAAATGGATATTATTACATTATTTTTTGAACCAAGATTCTTTTTGTGGCCTAAACAAATAATTGATCATATTAAAATTTGTTAATACACATGATTGTTCTCAATAAACCTGGAAAAAATAAAACATTTTACAAGAATGGTTTGATAATGATTTATATTCAAAAGCATATTGACAAAATCTACAATATATATTTTTGATATTTTGATATGATTATTTTAAAGACTGCGAAAATGGATTTTACTGTATCTATAATTTTTAATATAATAAATGATATTAATTCTTATCTGATGTAATTAATTCAGAAATCTATATTTGAATCAGTATAAACACACTAGGAAACAGGATGCTGATTTTAAATAAGGATTAATACAATTTTCCCTGTTAACAAGTGAGTTCGGAATGATTTTCAAGTGTTGTTTGTTTATCGAGGAAATTGAAACTACGGTACTTTCAGTTTGATTATAGAAAGCAGGATGGTTCTGATCAACATGCCTTCTGATGAGGTACATAAATTATTTTGAAAGTTTTAAAAAATAGAAGGATATTCATTAAATGTGTGTAGATTTTTAAAGTGGGAATTATTATTAAAGTGGATGTTAAGTTGTTATAATAAATGTAAGAAATGCACTTCCTTGTAGGTTTAAACTTTGTTTGTTTGACAATTGTTTATATATAGAAAATTGGAAAAATTGGCGGGGAGGAACGGAGCAACAGGATGTTTATACTTAAGTTTTTAGCTGGTCTAATTAAAGAATAGGGAGAGCTATTAAATGTACTCACCAAGGCATCAGCATCACACTTTGGTTATGTATTTGTGTAAAAGTTGCTATCACCAGCTTCACACACATGTTCAGTCTGTGATTATCTCCAGGACACAGGTCCCGTAACTCTGAGTTACCTTTTTACAGAGTTGAATTGGAATGCAAAAATGTCAGTTTACTGTGGCACATTACAGTTAAAGGGATATTCAGGCAAAATAATGACAAAAATATTAAAATGATCTTATGTACTCAAATCACGCTAAAATGACTTTTCTTGAAGTTTCAGCATGAATTTCTTTTTAAATTCTATATATATTGGGTTTGAAGCGTAAATATATCTATATATGTTGAACAAAATTTAGACGCCAATAGAATCACCAAATGGTTTTAAAACAAGTCAGGTGACTTAAACAAACCCTTGAAGTTACAATAACAGATATTGTGGATATTGTATGATTGAAACAAGCCTAAGTCATTCATTGCTCTAACCTGACCCACGCGGGTCAAGTTAGGAAACCACCATTTCATTCTTTATATGAAAAAAAGTTTTGTTCCTTTGACTGTCTAAATTATTCATTTTGAGGGCATTTACAGAATAATAAATGAAAAATTCAAAACTAAGAAATGAAAATTTTGCCTGTGTCTCCCTTTAAAGGGACTCCACTGCTTTTTTTTGTTGTCATGGGACTTGATGTATTTGTTTGAGATTAAGTTTTATTTAATGTAGGTCTTGACTAGTAATTTGGGCTAAAAGCGATATCTCTTTTTTGGTGGCAGAGGCTTTACAATTCTGTAACATAAGGATTTATTTTATTAGTTATTGTATTAGTTAGCAATTACAGAAAATAAATTGTTTTCTGTTATTTATTACAAGAATGTTAATTTTACTATGTCAAGGTTGTAGTCCAAGAAATTCGAAAAACTTTTGAAAGTTGTTACATAAAGGAACAGTTTGCTTATTTAAAGACACATAAAACTTAATATACAAAAACATACCACGCCTTATTTGTCAGGTAGCTATCTGGGTCCAAAAGTTTCACATGCTTACATTATTGTGTTTTCAAAAAAATAAGATCATTTTTTGTTAACAAGAATTTATTTTAACTAAAAATGATATTCGTTTTCTGTATCCCCCGAGGTACATAATGCACATTTCTTTTTGCCATATATAGATGAGGAGAGAATTTTCAATTAAGGAAAGTGTTCATCTATTCCTGAGTAATGTTATATTCCAGAAGTTATTTTTCATTGGTTTGGATCATTTTCAGTATTGCAGATGAAAGGGGAAGTATTTTAGTTAATTAAACAGACAATGCCTCTTTTTCTCCAGCTTGTTTGTTTCTTTGATGGTTTTTGACACCCATATTTTACTACAATAATGGAACTGATGTCTGAATATTTCTGACAGAGGCTTCAAATGATTGTGGCCAGACAGAAGCATGTTCTTGGTACGATATCATCATTAGATAGCATCCTCTTAATGTGTACATATAATCTGAATTGACCTATCCCTTTACCTTTGTGGCTGAGGGGTTGCCTTTACGGGTGAAGGCATCATAATTGCAGCCACTGTTTAACACTATTTGTTTGTAAGAGGCGACTAAATGAGTTCCAAATATCAGAGTCTATGCATCTCGTAGCACCAGAAGGAGATAAGTGGTTTTGACCCCTTGTGTTGCTTAAAGTGTGTAACACCCGGGTTTAGCCAAAATCATCTTCCCTGTTTCGGTGCCATAATGACCTAAACTGTGTTAGTGCGCCATAAAACCAAACCAAAACAAACTAGACTCAATGGACATGTCCTCGATCAATTTTATTGTAAAATTACACCCAACAAATTAAACTTGCCTCGTATGAGTAATATTTTCTGTTAAAAAATATCACCATACACACTTCTTGTAAAACGTCATATTTTAAGCTAGGGAGCAACCATTAAACATAACAATAACAACATAGGTCATAGACCACCAAATTTTAAATTTTCTTAGGATTTATAATGGACACGTCGTCGATCAGCTAATTTTGACATGATAATGTAAAAAAATATTTAAACTAGTACCTGTATGACAAAATTTTGAGTTTATATTTAAAAGAAATGTGAATAAAATAGAAATGAATTATTTGAGATCTTTTACT